TGTTAACTGTAGGCATGAAAGTTTTATTTGCCATTGGTTTTATTTGCCGTCTTTTTCAAATCCCTTTGGATGTGGTGACCCCCTTGTTTGGACACAATCAGCACAATTTTCTCTTCATTTGTAGGAGGCATTTTGGAGCTGATTTCAGGTCCTCTAATTTTAAAGTTCCTCTAACATATTACCCTAAGATTTCCATTTAATTTTTTTACCTGTTAGTGACCTCAGCCCAGAAACTTTCTTTTTCAAAGTGCTGGGGGTATGCAAAGAGACATCCTTTTAAAATTCAAATTAGGAAACTACATTTTTTACAGCTGTTGCAACATTCACTGTATCCCCAACTTGTTCCTGGAAGTACAGGTAATTTACAGATCTAACAAAGCCCCAATGAGGCTAGAGTAAGCTATTCTGGAAGGAGAAGGATGGAGTGGTTTTGAGGTATGAGCCAAGCCAAATTCATGCTGGAGTTAGCTGGCTGAAATCCCTGAATTGAAACAGAATAATTGTTTCATATTTTTTCAGTATTATTTATAACAGACTGATGACTAATTGAAACATAACTGGCTAGGGATTGTTTTTAAATGAAAAATAAACAAGCTTGAAGAAATCCAGCTGTTTGTATTCAAATGCTATCCGGTTGCTATGTATTTACTCTTCTAATGTTTGTTTCACTAATATTTACCACAAAGTCTAGCTTGAGTAAGATAGTAAGACATCTAAAGCGTGACACATAATTACAGAGGAAGAAAAAAAGGATGCTGACTCAGAAAGAAAACATTTTTCCATTTGAGTGGATTCCACTGTCTTAATTAAAAGCCTGCAGAATATTCTTCACTAAGATTTTGTGCTTAGTCGCTCAGTCGTGTCCTGCTCTTTGCAACCCCCATAGACAAGAGCCCGCCAGGCTCCTCTGTCCATGGGTATTCTCCTGGCAAGCATACGGAAGTGGGTGGCCATGGCCTCCTCCAGGGGATCTTCCCGATCCAGGGATCGGACCCAGGTCTCCCGCGTTGTAGGTGGATTCTTTACTGAGCCACCCGGGAAGCCCTTGGGTAAGATAGAAGCAGGAGCATGATAAATGGTAACTTAATGCTTGAGAATTACGTACATTTTAGGATAAAATTGTTTACTGACATCTATTTTCTTTATGTAACCTGTTTTTCTCAGGTTTTAAAACAACCTTTAGAGAAATGGTTATGAACCAGACTACAGTCAGACTTCCTAGGCTGCTACTTACTATGTGTAAACATGTAACCAAGAGGGGTTTGTCTCTAGAATGGGAATGTAATAACAGCATCTGCCTCACATACACATTGTGAGGATTAAATGATCTAACACAGGTAAAAACACTTAGGAAAGTGCCTGGAATACAGTAGTCTCCCTTGGGATTTGAGAATTTTTAAGAACCAATTTATTTCAACATTTCTTTGGCCTGAATTGAAATATAATCATAGCTAAATATATATGATATATAGCTAAATATAATATGATTATGTTTCAATTTAGGCTAAAGAAATGTTGAAATAAATTGGCTCTTAAAAATTCTCAAATCCCAAGGAAGACATTTATCATGCTCCTACTTATGTGTCTGACTATGTGTTAAGCACTTCTTGTACATTATTTTGTGAGTCCTCCAAAATGCCTGTGAGTTAAAGGATTTGTTGTCCTTGTTTTACAGAAGATGCAACTGAGGGTTAGGGAAGTTCAGTAACTTGCTGAAGGTCATATAGGACTAGTAAGTAGCAGAGTGAAAGTTGAACCAGATCTATTCACCTTCAAAGACCATACATATCTCCACTGCTGGGGTGCTTTCTCCACGTTATAATACACACCCTGGGCCTAATCAACTTGTATTCCCTTCCTAATAGAAATTGTTGGTAATGAAAAATGGTGATCCAGAGGAGAAGATAAGAATTTCAAAGTAGAGCAAAATCATAATATTAAAGTACAACATAAAAGTATTTTTGGTTGTCATTTTAAAAAAATCTTCAATAAGCCTATCTTATATTATGTTCCAGAATGTGTAACAGTATTACCACAGAGTTTTGACATCCTGATGTAAACATGTTTTGTTTATAATTGGAAGACGGTATAGCTAGAATAACCTTTTGCTTGGAAAGTTAATATCCTCGATAAAGCATTTCATTTTTGCATAGAGAAAGAAATTCATAACAGTACCTATCAATCAGAATTAACAATGGAATATCTAAATTTATGGGTGAGAGAAGTGTTGGTTGTCCAATTCAGAAAGTGATTTTTAAGTAAAATATAAAACAAGAAAGAATATTAGTGAGTCAGAATCTTCATTCCTAACCTTATCAATAAAAGACAGTTGAAAATTTTAAGATGATTATGATACAAGAAGGCAAGTTTCCTTTAAGTGTATATAATAGGGATGTGTACCGTATTCTAGAAAAACACAAGGGTAAAAAACATAATCATTAAATCTAAGTATATATTTTCATGTGTTAAAACCTGGAGCTATACTAGCTCTGAAAATTTGGGATTAACCTCCAAGTTTCAGCAAATGGAACAACAGAACCTTCTTCCAGTGACTGCTATGAAATATCGGACATGTAAAGAACTCAGCCAATCTTTGGTGCATAGTATGTTCTTAAGTATATTAAGTTTTCTTCTTCTTATTTCTCATTAATACTATTTCCACATTTCTGTATGTGCTTGATCAGGAGTCTGTTTCCTTCAGGGTCTCTGTTCATCCATCTGTTTCATAATACCTGTTCTAATAGACTATTCAGATCGACCCCACACCACCAACCATCTCACTAAAGGAAACATCAGAACCCTAGGGGACTTAATCACTTTTAAGTTTAAGGAGTTAGCAGGCTCAATATATTGGAAGTAAAACATTCAGTAAACCTTTCTTGTACTGTTTTGGTGCAAATAAATATCCATATTTATATATTCCCAAGTTTATATGGGTTAAATTTAATGAAACATCATGAGTTTAAAGTAAGGAATATGAGAACTGAACATGCTTCTATAATTAAGCAATGTGATTAAGAGCAGAAGGTTTCTTTTTTGCTTCTCTTTGGGGATAGATTATGGCAGATTCAGGCACAAAGAAACTTTTGGGGTCAAACATATTATTTTCCTTTTCTATTTCTGTTCCCTCCTAGAAAATGATTCTTTTCCTACATTTCATAAATCATCAGTATTGTATTTGGACATAAGAATACAAAAGAACTTTCCTCATACTTCGGTCTTACAGCTTCATTTTAACAAAGCTTACTTTAAAGGAATATATAATATACTTTACTGAAATCACAAAAATAAGCATTAATTATCAGTGGACAATTTCAATCATGAAAACTGAAAATATACAGAAAAGTCTAGGACTTAATTTTAGCCTTTGGACTCAGTTTGGGCTTTGGTTTTTGTTTTCTTTTGGGGGTGTTTTATTTGGGGTTTTCTAAACCATTCATTAAAGCTTTTAGGTAATTTTTCTAATTAATTGGGAAATTATTTCCTTTGACTCAGAAAAATGCCAGTTTTAAGATACATCACTCTAATGTGTGATTGTTTATAACAAGCATTAAGATTAGCTATCCACAGACCACTTTTTTCAGTGGCCACAATACTTACTGGGATAAATTTGTGGACTCAAAAACTATTATTTCCAGTTTAATATGAAACAAGTGCAGAAGATCACATAAGCTATTTTTAGCATAATGTGATTTTAACGTGTAATTATCAATTCTAACTTCACTATTTTTACATAGAAGACAGTTTTCTATTACCACTTAATGTCCTTTTTCCAGTTATCATTAATTTTCCTACTTGTTTTCACTGTATCTCCCCACTTTCCATGGAGTAAGATTCTCCATAGTCATGAATTGATTTTTCTTAGAAAAAAAATTTTATTGCGTAATAAAAGTGATTCTTTCCATTCTCAAATAAGCAAGTATCCTTCAGCAGTTGTAAAGATTGTTTTTAGTATAAACTAAGGCAGGGAACTCAGATTCCAATGAAATTTCACATATCTCTGAAAGTGATCTTTCTAAGAAAAGTAGTGAATGTTTTTTTCATCACATGCTTACTGTGTTGGCATCGTTATGTTAAATTACTGTTGTTACAAATAGGGAATAAATAAGTGCCTCAGTAATTAAGATTATAAAACTCTTTTATATTTTGTTGGGATATTTGGCTTCAAAGGTAATTTTCCCTTTTCTTAACACTGAGCAAAAGTGTGTCCTGAGTCTTCAGGAAACTAAGGATATATTTCTAAAGGTAGCAGCATATGAAACAACACAAGTACAGAGGATTATAAAATATTATGAAGTATTCATTTTGAACCCTGAGTATATATAGATCAAGGTAAAATTTTTAAGTCCCTGAAATTTAGTTTTAAAGAAAATATACATAGTCTGGGCCTGGTTCCCCTTAAGGCCATTTTTGTCCCTGACTTCAGAGTAAAGCTCTGAATTAGGATTATAATGGGTCCATTCCATTTTAGAGCATTCTTGGCATGGTTTGATTAGTGTTAGGTCATTCCTGGTCAGAAAGAGATGGAGTCTGTTTAGCCTATGAATTTAACCTAATTAAGCCAGGAAAAGCTTCCTAGAATTGAGTTTGATTCTCCTGAGCAATCTCAATCTCAAATCCCAGAGCTGAGTGGTATATGATGACTTGATTAAATGATGTGGACTTTAAAACCCTCTTCTTCCTTAAAATTGTAGTCTTACCAAACAGTGCAAGTAATATTCCTCATGAATATGTGTCCCAATTTGAAGTTGAACTATTCAGTAGCCACATTTTCTCATAATAGTTAACCTTAATAAAACATTCTTAGCTTTCTGAACAGTGAATGAAAATTGATGATGAAGGAAATGAACATTTATAGGTATTATTAGTATTAATTGCTTCTTAATAAAACTAACAATCCTTTCTAACATTTTAATGATACCATTGATTTTTAAATTTTAAAAAACAGTTTCTGAAGTACAGTGTTTAACCATTTCTTTAAACATTTCTATCTTTCTCAGAGACCAGCGTGCTGAGGATGTCAAAGAAGACTTTGAAGAGAGAACAGAGAGTGAGCTGAGGACACCACATGAAGCCCGAGGTACCCATAATATTCTCATGTTATTGATAGGTATTAATACTCAGCAATGAAAACTGGGATGTGGCAGCCCCTTTTATATTAAAGACAAATGTCATTTGGTTGGTTCTGTTACTGCAAGCAATAAAAGTTTATTGTTCAGGATACTTTTGTTATACAATTCATAATGATATGGATCCATCTGTGACCTGTATTTATAGTCTCTTTGACATATGTGTAGAATATTGTGTATAGAGTTACTGAATAAGGCCTCCTATTTGCTCCATGTAGTGTATTTTTTAACATTGTTGATGTCTTTTGCTTCATATGTTTCAGACTCACCTCAGAACACAGTTGACATACAAATAGAAGTAATATGGTCTTAATCTAATACCACAAAATGAAAATCACTTGAGCAAATGTTTTAAGTTTTACTGGAGAAAGTAACTTGTCTTATATCTTTGCTGAATAGATATTACAGTAGTTTGAGCAATGAAGTTGTAATGACTGTTGTTCATAGTATAACTTGTATTTATAATTTACACATGGCTTTATAATTACTATTTATTTTTGTAAGAAAATGTTGGCTGGATTATGATTTTAATGATTGCCTCTGGGGACTTTGCTTGTCATGTGCTTTTTTGGGTTTAGATTATTTGTAAGATTATAGAATGGCACCTAAGGACTGTTTGCCTGTAATGACCTATTCTGTAAGTGATGCTTTGATTTCCATATCTGATTTTCATAAAGCATTAATTTATGGTTAATTTAAAAGCTGTATGCTGTCCTCAGCATATTTTATAGTGTTTAATCTTGCACCATATACAAACCCCTACAGATGGCCAGGGTTTCATCTGTGAACGCCCACCTGTTCCCTTGTGTAATCATAGACATTTCACTGAAAACTTTTCAGTGCCTGTTTCCTTATCTGCCCAAAAGGTTGATGGAGGTCCTCCCTCCCACAGTTGTTATGGGGATTGAGTACAGTAACATTTGTAGCTTGCTTAGAACAGCACCTGGTACATAATAAGTGCTGTGCAAGTATTTGATTATTTAAAATGTTTCCAGTCACTTAGAAAGGACAAGAAAAACACTTAATTTACGAAGGTTTTGTCATCAAGGTATTGTGCTGCCGTGCTCACTTCTGTCTGACTCTTTGTGACCCCATGGATTGTAGCCTGCCAAGCTCCTCTGTCCATGGCATTTTCTGGGCAAGAAGCCTGGAGTGAGTTGCCATTTCCTACTCCAGGGGATCTTCTTGACCTAGGGATTGAATTCATGTCTCCTACATTGGCAGGTGAATTCTGTACCATTAGCGCCACTTGGCTTCTTAATCCAAAGTGTCTGCCTTTCTTTGTGAGTGGTGGTTAGGAGCACGGCCTTCATTCTCATCTCAGCTCCACCGGTACCGGCTGTGCGGCTGGCTCTGGGGAGAGCATTTAATGCCTCTGTGTCTGAGCGTCTCAGTAGTGCCCACATCACTGGATTATTACGAGCAACGAATGCCTCAGCGGCTGCAGGCTTAGCCATAGCAGCAGTGGTGGTGGCAGGAGGGGTGGCTTTGTGAAGTCAGTGTCTATTGTGTGCAGTTATCTGATCACTGAAGTTTAGATGGAGTCATAATAAAATCTGGGCTCTGAACTTTTTCAGGGAGTAGTGATTTCAGCCTTTTCAGTTTCTTCCTAACTTGGTGATGTAATTCACTTTTCACTTGATTTGCTGTGCTGATTTTGATCCTTTTTTCCCCCCTTGAAATAGTCTATTTAATGGAAAATTTTAGGTTTGTTAATGTGATATGCATGGTGTTCTTTCTTTTTCGTGGTAGTTTTGTCTATTTGAACTTTGTATATTTTTATCCTGTTTTTCTTGATTTGAATTATCTGAGTTTTTCTGTTTTATTATTCTTTCCAAACATTGCTAGGATTCATATATAACCCTTTAGTGTTTTTCTCACCTACAAAACCTGTAGTTTAGTATGCATATTATGCTGTCTTATTTTTCATTAGTGAAAGGGAGCCTCATAAAGACAAGCTGCCTTGAGAATTTTTGCACATATGTTCCTAAATAAGATTTGCCTATTAATATCTCATCCAGTTTTAGCTTCCTAAAATGAGTTTGATGACTTCCCTTTATTTCCAGATTTTTGAAACATTTTATGTAAAACTTTCATAAAATTAGTTTTTTCTGTAGTAAAATCATGTTATCATTGTTAGCTTTTATTTAACTGCTTTCTTAGCTTTGGATTATAATTTTTTTGAAATTTATTCCAGATTCATTCTGTATGGAAAAGATTTGAATTTTACCTGCTGGCCTTACCATATAAGAGTTTGTCTGTTGTCTTTCCCTGGACCCCATAAAACTTCAGTACAAAGTGAGCTCTTAATGGTATTTGAGAGCTCCTGTGTCTTGGTGATGTTGGGGATATCTCAGATCCTAGCCAGTGTGTGGCTGTGTTTAGTTGTTTCTGTCCTTCTGCCTCTCAGGTATAGAGCCATGACCTGGTGTCTCAGATGGGGCTCTCTGTTGGCAGACAGTGGGTGTTGTGTGCAGGAGTGTGTTGGCGGGAACCCATGAGCAATGCCACTGGGGGAGTGAGAGCAGCGTTGGGCACAGTGAGAAGCTGAGTTGTGATGCAGTCACAGCAGAAGCCTCGGGTGATCCCATAAGGAATTCTGGATGAATCTTCACAGAGTTATCCCAGATTTGGGCAGGAGAATCTGACCTGGGTATCTTTGCATTGACCACTCCTTGGATATTGGCTGAGAGGGGCAGGAACCTCCCTTTGAGCAAGGGACCTCCCTTTGGCTCGGGGCAGTTCCTGGAGAGGGAGGTAGCTGTGAGGCATCAGCAGGCAGAAGGTAAGAAAAGGAAGCGTCTCGGTTCTGAAGGGTGACTTGGTGGCTTACTACAGTGTCTGCCGCGCCTGGGCCGCACTACACATCAGCTACGCTTGGTCTCTGACTCTCCTATAAGAAAAATCAAACACAAATGAACAACAGAATATCCCAGCCAATTTAATCTTTTGGTTTTGAACCATGAATCTGACTCTTAAATTCAATCTTCTTTCATTATTTTGCCTGAGATGTCATGAGCTTTCTTTCTTCCTTTTTTTTTTAATCCAGAAAACTTCCTTCCCTTATCATTTTTATTATTTGGTATTGTTGTTGTTCAGTCGCTAAGTCGTGTCAGACTCTTTGCAGCCTCACAAACTGCAGCTTGCCAGTCTCCCCTGTCCTTCACTATCTCCCAGAGTTTGCTCAAACTCATGTCCATTGAGTCAGTGATGCTCTCAAACCATCTCATCCTTTGCCACCCCCTTCTCCTTTTGCCTTCAATCTTTCCCTGCATCAGGGTGTTTTCCAGTTGAGTCGGCAGGTGGCAAAGTATTGGAGCTTAAGTTTTAGCATCAGTCCTTCCAACGAATATTCTGGGATGATTTCCTTTAGGATTGACTGGTTTGATCTCCTTGCAGTTCAAGGACTCTCAAAAGTCTTTCCAGCATCACAATTTGAAAGCATTAGTTCTGTGGTGCTTAGCCTTCTTGATGGTCCAGTTCTCATATCCGTACATGACTACCTGAGAAGGCATAGCTTTGACTATATGGGCCTTGTTTGGCACAGTGATGGCTCTGCTTTTTGACTGGTAATACTTATTATTCTTGGGTTAGATCCAAAGGATGATATTCAAAATATTTAGCAGTTGGTTTGACAGCCAACATTGCACAGGACAGTTAAAACAAACACCAGCCTTAGTACGGTAGCAGTTTGGAGGCTCTGTGGTGAATTTAGTTGCAGCATCTTAGGGAAGTCCCTCAAGTGCCTGACTTCTGAGGGTGGAGGGGCCTGTTACCATCCAACATGGAAGCATTATAATATTTCAACAACTTACACATTTTTTGATATTCTAAACATATACCTCAAGTTGGCATATCTTACTCTTGCTCTGTCAGGTCTGCTATTTACTGCCTTTAACATGAATTTTAGTAGTGGTTTTATTTTCCTTTAATTTCCTGCACTAGCTCGTTTTTTTTTTTTCTTTTCATAGCCTGTTTTTGTCTTGTAGACTTACCTCTGAATGCTCCCATTGGGTATGGTAGAATTCCTCTTTCACACCTGAGCTTGAGGGTCAGGTAGGTATGCTGAGCTTAGTAGGTGCTCCCTAGTGTTGGTTCACAATGCCCTTCCCCAGGTGGAAGCAGCCCTTCCCAGATATAGCCTGGTGAGGGGTAGCATAGGAGACAGGAGAGAAATCCTCTTGCAGTTTGTTCACTATTTAGCATAGAGGAGACTGAAAAGGTCCTTCTAGTCACAGCTGTGGTTTCTCCAGTAGTCCTGTATGGATGTGAGAGTTGGACCGTAAAGAAGGCCGAGGGCCACAGAATTGATGCTTTCGACTTGTGGTGCTGGAGAAGACTTTTGAGAGTCCCTTAGTCAGCAAAGAGATCAAATCAGTCATTCCTAAAGGAAATCAACTCTGAATATTCATTGAAAGGACGGATGCTGAAGATGAAGCTCCAGTATTTTGTCCCCCTGATGTGATGAGCCAACTCATTGGGAAAGACCCTGATGCTGGGAAAGATTGAAGGCAGAAGAAGGGGGTGACAAAGGATGAAAAGGTTGAATGCCATTACTGACTCAGTAACATGAGTTTGAGCAAACTCTGAGAGATAGTGAAGGACAGGGAAGCCTGGCATGCTGCAGCCCATGGAGTCGCAAAGAGTCGGATACGATTTAGCGACTAAACAACATCAAGACTGAAAACAAGCCACACTATATTCCTTATAGCCAGTAGGATTTAAGACTCAGCAAGCCCATGATTTAAGACTCAGTAAGTCCGACTCTTTGCAACTCCATGGACTGTAGCCTACCACACTCCTCCATCCATGAAATTTTCCAGGCAAGAGTACTAGAGTGGGTTGCCATTTCCTTCTCCAGGGGATCTTCCTGACCCAGGGATTGAACCCGGGTCTTCTGCATTGTAAGCAGACGCTTTACCATCTGAATCACCAGGGAAGTCCTAAGCCC